CTTCCACCCTCCAGAACCATGAGATCAATTTCTTTTGTTTAAGCCCCCACATCTATGGTATTTTGTTATGATAACACAGCTGACTAAGACAGATGGGAAGGAAGGGAACAGAGGGTACAGTTTAGACACATCTATAAGGGCAAGATGTTGGTTAGAAATTAATCCAGATAGACTCAACTCTTGGGAAATGGAAGGCGAGCTCATCTGTCGAAAATGAGAGGGAGGCGGGAGGTAAGAAATTTGAAAAACACATGGCTGTCAGGAGCACGCCTGAGAGCCTCCAGTGAGGAAGTGGGGTGGGACATGGCAGAATCTGGAGAGGACTCTGGGAATCTCAGGAGCCTGCAGCACAATGGGCTGGGTCTGTGGGACGTGATGAACCAGGGATGGCCCTCCCCGAATGCCATCCTTGGAATAGACACACAATGCAGAGGCTGGATGGGCCCCAGGAGTCCACAGGAATGCTGCGCAGCCTTCTGTTTGTCATGTAAGCAAGTAGATAGCATCTGAGTGCTGTGGCTTTTACCTTGGGCTGCACGTTGTCCCGAAGCCCGGGTGAAGGTCAGTGGTGAGAACTCACAGCTTGCTAAAGAGCAGGGAAGCAGTGACCAAGCTGGGGCTCACTGCAAGGGGCCATTCTGGTGGTGGAGCTCTAATCCTGGATATTAAATCTAGGCTTTAACAAGAGGGTGCCAGGAAGAGAAGCTATGCCCTCCTTTGGCATGGGAGGAAATCTGGGGCCCTCCCAACCTGGGTGAGGATCATGAGGACAGGGTGAGGGTGGGGAGTTCTGCGGGAACTCCAAAGGGTGATGCCAAGGCAGGTGGACTCCCCTAACCAGTTTGGGAAATGGTATCTCCTCCTGTTGGATTTTGTGACCTCATGCTCATTTCTGGGCCCCTCAATAAACGCTGTGTGTAACTCAGTATTTTTTTTATGTTTCACAAATTGATTAGTTTAAATGAAAATTAATGCTATTTTGAAGTTTGGAAGAGAATTTTATGACAGCCCATTGGGCACCGGAAACCCGGAGCAGGTCTCTCTTTTGGAGTAGATGCATGTGCTGGTTAAGAGGCTCCAGGTTTAAGGTCTCACATCACCATGTCCAGCTGGGTGGTCTTAAGCAAATGGCCTCATGTCTCAGCCTCAGTTTCCTCATCTGCACCATGGAGCTAATAACTATTGATGTGAGAGTCAGTGTTTGGAGCGACTCAGCAGAGTGTCTGGTGGAAAACAAGAGTCAATTAAAGGAGCCTTCATCATCATCTTCATCATAATTATTCACTTATTATCTTCAGGGATAATACAAATTTAAAAAGAAATCCACACAAACACGTCTTCAGAAAATTAGAAAGTGTTTTTCCAAGTACACAGAAAAGTCCCCAGTGACCCTCCTCCGAAAAGTCATCAATAATCAGCTCCCAGGCTGGGCATGGTGGCTCACACCTATAATCTCAACATTTCAAAGTCTAAAGTAGGAGGATCACTTGAGCCCGGGAGTTCAAGACCAACCGGGGAGACACGGTGAGACCATGTCGCTCAAAAAATAAAAAAAAAATTAGTTGGGATGGTAGCAGGTGTCTGTAGTTCCAGCTACTTGGGAGGCTGAGGTGGGAAGATTGCTTGAGCCAGGAAGTTTAAAGCTTTAGTTAGCCATAATGGCACCACTGCACTCCAGCCTTGGCAACAGAGCAAGACCCTGTCTCCATAAGACAAAAATTACCAGCTCCACAGGCAATGCTTGCAAGCCTTTCTAAGGTTCTGCTCACTGTGCAGCCACAGGGCTTGTCAGCCTCTGGATTCAGATGCATGATGGGACAGGGCAGCAACCACCATGTACCAAAGGCTTCCATGTACCAGAGCCCGTACTTGGAATGTTTATATTTCTCAGCCATCAACTGAGGAGAGATGGAGATAGGAGGCGTGAGATGGGAAGAGGGGGTGGAATAGATCAAGGAACCCGTTCTCCACAGAAGTCTTTTTTCCAGTTTGGAGACTGGTTTTCATCAGGCACACTGTTTCCATCCTCTGACTCAGATGTCCTATCACCAACCCCACTGCCCCGCACCCAATGTGAAATAAATACCTATTGTTAGCCCTATCTGTGCATCTATCATGAAGCATGACAACCTTTAAGGCAGCAGTTCTCAAGCAGGGGCAATTCTGCCCTCCCTACCCCTAGAAAAATTTGGCAATGTCTAGAGATACAGTTTCTGTTGTCACAGCTTTAGAGAGATCGTGGGCTTCCAGTGGGTAGAGGTCTATGATGCTGCTAGGCATTGTACAATGCATACGACAGCACTCATAATGAGAATTATCTGGCTCCAAATATCAATAGTATTAAGAAACTCTGCTTGAAGGAAAAATCAGTCCTATACACCTCCCTTAACTCACTCAGGTTAACAAATTGGCAGTTTGCCAGATGCCATGGATTAAAAAGCCCTGTCTTGAGTGACTCTTTTTCCATGGCCTGACACATTTCTGTACAATTCAGCAGGTAAGAAGTCCTTTCAAGATGTGATTCTTTATTACTTGTTGCTGTATCATCATCATTTCATTCAGTCATCCATGCATTCATCCAACACTCATTGAGATACCTCTTACATTGTGACAGACTCTAGGGATAAAAAATGAACAAGATGAGCTCTATGCTCAAGTTCAAAGTGTGTGTATTGGGGTTTAGGGGACAGATGTGTTAGTTAATAATTACAGTAATGTTCCAGGTAAAAGTTCTAATGAGATGCATTGGGGTGGGGCCACAGAGTGGGGTGTGCTCAGTATTTCTTATGGGGGCCTCAGAAAACTGCCCCTTCAGCCATCAACACTTTTTGGGTTCCACTTACAAGGGTCACTTCTGACACCTCCCTTTATGGAGTAGGGGGAGAACAGTAATAGGCAATTTGGACTCAGTGACCCCCCTCCATTAGGAAGATGCCTATAATCTCCCTCGAGGGGGAGCTTCAAATGAATAAAAAATTATTTGAACACACTTAGGTTTCAAAATCAAATGTCTGGCCACCCAGAGTCAAACAAACAGAAGGAAAGCAAGGTTCCAGAGGCTGGGAAAGACTCCAACCAAAGTAGATCAGTTCCACTTATATTTATTATAGGAGTTCTCCACCAAGAATTGTGAGATATAACCTCAGGTCTAGAGAAGCCCATAAAATAACCCAAGGACCACAACTTATGCACAGGAAACCATCCTGTGATTATGTAAGGCAGTAATGCACTTTTGAAAATACAAGGGGCATAACAGATAGAGCCCTGGATGGTTGGAAATCAAGAGATCTGGGTGCTAACCCTCAGGAGTTAAGTGGGGTGTGTGGGGCTCATAGAGCTGCTGGTCTTAGCTCTGCTACCGACTTGCTGATCTCAGGCAGCTCCCTTCTCTCTGAAGGTCTCAGTGTGCTCATTTGTAAAATGAGGGATTGGGACCAGAGCATAACGAAGCATCCCTCCAAGGCACACTGAAGACTTAAAGAAAGTGAAGCCTCCATTTTTCCCTTCCACTTATTCCTGTGATAATCCAAGCATTTCCCTGAGATAAAAAATGTAGACTGAACCTCAGCCCTGCACTCAAGGTACCAATTATGACAGTCTCGGAGTCACTGCAGATACTTAAGAAGGAGGCGGGGAGGGTCCCAAGGAAGGAGCTATTGCCTTTCCCACCCCTAACCACGGAATAACACACCTCCAGGCTATACCTGGCTCTGCATTGTCCCCAGTATCCCAGCTGGTGTTACTCCAAATTGGGAGTCAAAACTTATGAGTGCATGCTGTTGCTCTAGCATCTTCCAAGGCCAGCACTGCCACTGAAAAGAGGAGGCTTCAAGGCAGCAAGGGAGCTCCAAGCAAGCTCCAAACTGCACTCATCCCAACTACTGCTGCTGGAAGTCTTGGGTGGCCAGAAAAATGAGCATCTCCTGAGTGTCAACACTCTACTCAGCTCCAGGAGTACTGGTTTTCCTTATAATCAAACCTGAGGGGACTACGGAATGACAAGGAGGTTGGACACCAGGAGACTTGCCCAGGACAGAGATCGGAGAGTCATTTGGGTCCCCAGGCACTTTCCCTGGGAGGCTTCTTGGAACAGAGGCCTTGGGGACCAGTTTGGATTGCAAGTGGCAAGGGATGATTCTGGAATCTGGCCCCCACCTCTAACCCCCACTCCCTCCCATTCCTCCCTTTCTGCTGGTCTGGGTGGTGCCACTTTCTTGATCACAGATCCCAGAGCTCAGAGGGGCCGGGACTCCCAGGAATTTCTGTGGGAAAGAAAAACAAACCGTCCATCTTGCCGCATTTTTTTTTCCCTCCTCCAGCCGCTTGCCAGAACCTGGGGAGTAGCAGCTCCCAGGAGCCAACAGACACGCAGACATTAGGCAGCGACATCCCACACGAGGGTGTGAGGAGAGTGGCAGGCGGTCCCGTCGCAGACCCGGAAGCTCCTGCCAGAGCTCCCTCAGGTTTTCCTATCTGCAGCCCGTGAGTGTGAAAATGTCAAGGTTTGAGGGCAGACTGATACTGATGCGGATTCCAATCCTCTTTTTCTGATTTGGAGCAAGAATTCTTCCCCCTCTCCTTTCCTTTCCTTGTCTATAACGTGGGGGTGATAATATCAGCCTAGAAAGGTCATTATGAGGTTTCAACGAAAGATTGGAGGCAAAGCGTCCAGGACACAATAGGCATTGCCAGGGGGCGGCTCCAGAATTTCCGTCTAGGAGAGTGTCAGAAGCCAGGCCAGAGGAAGAGGTGGGTGGGGAGCACGGGCATTCATCTTAAAGCCGCTTTACCCTGGCGCGCACGAGGTTTTTCTTTGGAAAGGGGGCCCTCCGGAGAAGGGCTGGGAGAGATTTATGTTGGAAGGACTGGGAGGGAAGAGTCCCCATTCTTCAGCGGAAGATCTGCTAGTCCCCCTCCACCCGCATCCTGTCCGAGGCCAGAGAAGTGGCGACACCGCCGTTCCCTCGGGCCCCCAGCCCGCAGAAGGGCGCAGTACTCACCGAGTGCGCGGCGCAAGCGAGCAGCACCGGCAGCAGCAGCTGCTGCAGCGGCGGAGACAGGTGGGGACGCATGGTGCCCTCACGGTCCTCGCGGGCGCCCCGACGGCCGCCGGCCAGTGCGCTCTGCCGACTCGGGAGCTCAGCGCCCAGTGCAGGGTCCCGGGCTCCAGCCGGCCAAGGGGCCCCGAGGAACCATGGCTGAGCCACCCGACCTGCGGCGGGCCGGAAGACTGCTCCTCCTCCGACGAGGTGGCCGCTCGCGCTAAGCCGCCCGGCCCATTGATTAGGATGCCGCGCTGCCGGCGCGCCTCCTCCACCCGGCAGGGACTGGCTGGGGGCCTGCGCGGAGGCCAGCAGGGGAGGAGGCAGAGGGAGGGCGCGGGGGCCCAGAGTCGGCTCCCGCAGGCTCTGCCCAGGGCTGGAGGAGACCAGGAGAGGGCACGCTGGCTTAGCCTTACACACGGCAATCCCATCCGACCCCAGGTCGGGAAAGAGCACTGCCTCTGGAGTCCACGGACCGAAGGCACAAGCTCGCTGGGGGCCGATGGGCAACTTAGGTCACCTTTGTAAGCCTCGGCTTTCTCATCCCTAACAACACATCTCTGATAATTTCCACTCCCAGACTGAAAGTTGTGACACAGTAAAGGTCCATGGCATCTATTCCCGCCCGACAGCTACCTTGCACTTTGTTTCCGTTTTTCTCTTTATTTTTATTTTTTCATTATTAAAGTCATTAGCGCTCATTCCAGAAAGTTTCACTCCCATGAGCTCCTCCTTTGATGATGTCCAAAGAGGATCTGTGGCACCCCCAGGCATCTGGGGACAGCCCTAGAGGCCCCCTTTTTACTGTTTCATTAAAAAAAAAAAAGAGGCAGCGTCTCACCATGTTGCCGAGGCTGGTCTTGAACTCTTGGGCTCAAGAGATCCTCTCACCTCAGCCTTGCGAAGTACTGGGATTACAGGCATGAGCCACGGGGCCTAGCGCTAGATGGGTCTTATAAACTCAATTTTTGTTTGTCTGCGCTGGTGCTCACTCCCTTCCCTCTTCTCTCCTCCTTTCTTGATCTTTCTCCTAGGCACTTTAAGTAAATCGGCTCATTTAATTCTCCCCCAGACCCCTAGGTGATGTGACGCCCATTTGACAGAGGAGGGCATTGAAGGTGGAGGAGGATTCATTACATACCCAGGTACTGCAACCCAGAGGCTCAGACAGGAAAGCCTGGATCTACCTTTCCATGGCTGACCTGACTCTCCGTAACTGGCCTGTATTCAGACGGCCATGCAGCTGTTAGAGAAACAATGTGCTCTTGTCCTTAGCAGCCTTCCCTATCAGAAGAGACTATTAGTAACCTGAGGCTGCTAAATCCTGGCAGAAATAAAAGGGAGAAAAAATCGTTCAGCTCCTAGGTCCAAAATCAATGCTCAGTACACATCAAACCTAAAGTATACATAATCACCAACTCCCTTCTAGAAACTCTTTCTGCAAAAGTACTCACCCAAGGGCCTAATGGAATATGTGCAAGGATGTTTGCCGAAGCATTATGACAGTGGCAGGAAACTGGAGATTATATATGGGGAAGAGAACCATGCTTACGATTCCTTCCTCATGGGCAGCAGTCATTACTGTAACATTCCTGACTTGTTTCTACCCCTTCACTCTCTCTGTCCATTCCTCTCTCTCGCATGCATGCACGCATGTATACACAGGTGAGGCCAGCTTACATGATCGATGCCTTTGGAATAAGGAACTGGCATGAGTTCAGTCCCCTCCTCTCTCCATCCTTTGACAGCCTGTCCCCTACAGAGAGTCTGTAACTGGATTTCCCTGGCCCAGGCTGTGATTGATGGTTGAGGCTCTACTGGAACTCATCCAGTACCACCAGTGACAGGGTCTATCTAATTCTGGGGTTTAGTTAGGAAACCCACTTGCCTACAGTATAAACCACATTCTAAAATACCGACTTTATTACTAATAAAAGTGATATTTGGCTCTATCTGTCTTGATCTCGTTTCTCAATTGGTTCAAGATTCAGGCTAGAAAGAAAAATGTTATTTCCTGGGCCCCGTGAACCCCAGCACCCTAAATGTCCATCACAAAGTGCCTGGGGTAAGGACTTGCAGCTTTTACTCTACAGGCTTCTGTGTTGTTTGAATGTTTTCTGTAACAACACTGTGTAGGGCTGTTCTGGGTTGAGATAAATAAAAAGAAAACAATACCAAAATGCAATCTATGCTTTATACCAGAGCCTCATGATCTCTGATGAAAAAGCAAAACAACATTAGTTCTGGGCAATTCAATAAATTTCTGGCCTGTAGCAAGCCATTCTTGCTTAAATGGGAAGCTCTGCCTCTCAAGGAGAGTCGAGAAAAGGGATTGAAGTGCTCCTTGAAAGGTCATTAAAACCTGCCTGAGACAACAATTTTGCAATCGGGGTAGAAGGGAAGAGGTAGGAAAAGTAACCATGTATTTACCACCTGTCACGAGCTGGAGAGTCTGTTAGGAAGCTCAGAAGTGTTATCATATTCAGTCCTCCAAGACCATATGGGAGACAGGAACTGGAGGCTTAAGAAAGATAAATCCTTGCCTCCATCAGCGCAGCTAATAAGGGGAGGAGGCAGGATTTGAATCTAGGACTGAGCCCAGGCCTGTGTCATGAAGGAAACCAAATATTTCACCCCAAAATATACTTATTTGACATAATTTGAGATGGCCGTTCAGAGGGCCTCCAAACAGAAGTAGCCTTGCAAAGCTGTCTTTTGTTGGGGAGGTTGCATTGGAGATGAAGTCTCCCTCGTCCAGGCTGGGGTGCAGGGGTGCCATCTCAGTTCACTGCAGCCTCCTCCTCCCCGGTTCAAGCAATTCTCTTGCCTCAGCCTCCCAAGTAGCTGGGATTACAGGTGCGTGCCACCACACCCCACTAATTTTTGTATTTTTAGTAAAGATGGGGTTTCACCATGTTAGCCAGGATGCTCTTGAATTCCTGGCCTCAAGTGATCCTCCCACCTTGGCCTCCCAAAGTGCTGGGATTACAGATGTGTGCCATCACCCCCTGCCTATATATTAATCTCTTGAAATCACTTGCTATTGCCATGAATAGCTACAAATTAACTAACAATGCCACACTGGACACCATAACCCATACACTATAGCTTACCACGTATAACCAAACACTAATTAATGTTATTCCTGTAAACCAATGAGAATTCCTGACAAACAACTTTGTATCAGCCCGTTTCCTGTCCCTCTTTTCTGCCTCTAAAAATTCGCTTGTAACTGCTGTTCATTCAGAGCAATTCATGAATCTGTGCTCCCGGATTGCATCCCTCAAGCTTAGCCCAAATAAATCTTCTACTTATATTAACTTTGCCTCAGTTTCTTCCTTTGAGGCTGGCATATCTGGCATAAGTTGGCAGGATTCAGCGTGACTCCCCCAGACCACCTGGTGTTTCTCTCTGAACACAGCACTTGGTACCACCATGAACATTTCCTCTTCAGAAGTCCCACTGAGTGTTTCAGATGCTCTCCTACTATTTGGTTGGTGGTTAGACTTTTTGGGGACTGTTTTTCAGACCCTCTCTTTCCTTTAAGAGTGAGGGCTTCAGTCCATTTTTGGACAAGAGGTTTGGGTAAAGAAGTCTGCAGTTTTTTCTGCCTCTGTCTCAGGACTGGGGTCAAAGTTTTTCTCCCTTTGTCTCACAGCAGAGGTTTGGGCCAAAGGATTGGCGTTAGACAGACACCAGCGGTCTCGTTTTACATAGAATACTTTAAAAATTGCAGCTGCTTTCCTATTTTTGAAATTTGGGCTTGATTTTTCATTTATGACCAACTGCTTTGAATTAACCAGCAGCTGGTTTTATGTACACTTAGGGGGCACTGTCTTGTGGATGTCTAGGAGAAGGGACCCACCTAACCCAGGATGGTCATAAGCAACTATGACCAAAAGAAAAAGTGGAAGGGGAATCTCTTGAAACACCTAATTTATTTGCACACACAATCAGAAAAAGCTGGCTTTAGAACCAGACAACTAAAATTGGAGACTTGCCCCCAGTGGCACCCAAAAGCCTTCTAAAACAAATTCTGAGAAAAATGGCCTTCACTCAGGAGGTAAACCAAAGATGTCCATCACCAACACCTGAAGAAAATCCTCAGGTCTTTGAGCCCCTCCCTGAAACTCCTATTGTGTCAGTTCCAGAGTTACCATGAACCGCATCTGGTTCTGAACTGTGTGCTCAATTAAAAAGACCACTCAATGAACAAGATGAGTCTCCAGAACATGCCTTTGTTGCCAAACTGACAATTGCTTAGGGTAATAAAACAGTTAATTACAATATTAATGATCTTTTAAAGGGGGAAATGAATGAAAATAAAAGTGTTGAGCTTATAAAAATGCAGGTCCAACAAATTTTTTCTAAACCAGAAGTAATCCTTGACACTTAAGTTGAAATACTAATATTCAGGGAATTTGCTAAGAAAGATCAGATCTGAAACAAATTAAAAATCCTTTAACTGCTCAAACTGCCTGCTTTGTATCACCTGCAAGATTTACCAAAAGAAAAAAGAAAAGAAATAAACAAAAGCATTCCGCCCCATGGTCTAGTGGTGAGACTCTGGAGCTCTCACTGCTGTGGCCGATGTTCAATTCCTGGTCAGGAAACCAGTTTCTTTTGGTTTGATGTTTGCATGAATTTTGACTTTCAGGGATATTACTTTACCACTTGGGAGGGTGTCTTTGGGAAAAAAAAAATTCAAAAGCCAGAAATATCAGTCGTTTGTCCTGGCTAAAATCTAATAAGAAGTTTGAAAGGATTTTTTTTAAAGGAGCTCTACGGCCAGACTGTTAAACACACACACGCGCACACACGCACACACACGCGCGCGCACCCACACCCACCCACACACACACACACACGGTCTTTCTGCTTTTTCTTTTTGGATCTTGTTTTTAGAAATATATTTTTTCCTGTGGACTGAAATTTTGTGCTTGGTCCTCGTGTTTACTTCCCTTCTTAAGGATTGTTCTCTTATTTGCCTCTACTCCTTCCTATTCTTTCTTTCTCTTTGCTGCCTTCAGTACCACAGAAAGAATCTAGGGGTGACATCTAGTGATTCGAACACTTTAAGGAACAGAGGAAAAGTACCACTGCCCCCTTTTGGTGGCCTTCTGTCTTCCTGCCTTCCTGTTAAAGAGCTGTAAACAGGTTGTTCTCACATCTAAAACTCTACTCTCTTTTGTATTGTGTTACCTGATCTCTTTGGCTTTTGAGGATACCAGAGATTGACTTGTAGTGTGAGAGATAACTTGACCTTGGTGTGTGTGATGA